TAAATTATCAGTACTTGTCGACGAAGCACAATCTCAATCGTCATTATGGAGCAGAGTAACGTGCCGAGTACAAGCGCTGGTGTTTCTCACGTAACGGAAATGGAGGAAGTCTTTTTGACTACCTTGTTTCTGGTTGCGTTTCCATCGGTTGAAGCGTTAAAGACCACTATCACAAATTTTGAAAGATCGACTTACAGTCATTATGTAGTGAGAGATTCGCATATTGGCAGAGATCAAAAATCCTACATTAAATTTGTGTGTTGGCGAAATGGGCGTATAAGATCTAGCGGTTCGTCACAACGTATTAGACGGAGGAGGTAATTTGGTAAATTGTTTTATAATTTTTTGAACGAAGGGCTTCTATGAACACCCAATGTCCAGCATTTATGTTTTGTAAGATTATAGACGGCTATTGGACTGTTGTACGTGGGAATGTACATCACAATCACGAGTGCAATTCCCTGAGGTACCAGGGTAATTCATGGGTGCGCAGGTTAACGGATGGGGAGTTTGAAACTGTGAGACCGCTGCTGATTTCCGGTACCGCTGCATTCCACATAAAGAATTTTGCTTACCAATCTTATGGCAAATGTCTGACCGCTCAAGATGTCTGCAATATGCGGTACAAAGTGTTCTCACACGCGAACCTTCCTGGTACGGAATTTGCCAATTTATAATGTACACTATAGGTGATTACGGGAAATTGAAAGCTCACATAACATCCTTGGGTGGGCTTTGCGAATACGAATTGGACGATGAGAACTGTCTATCGTATTTCTTCTTCATGACCGCTGAACAAGTGAATTTGGCCGGTCACTTTTGTGACGTAATTGGTTTTGACGGGACGTACAAAACGAATAACGAGAACGTCCATTTATATCAAGTCGTTGCCCTGGATATGAATTTTAAAGCAATACCCATGTGCATTGCCTTTTTAAGTCGCGAAACGTCAACATTAATTTCTGCCTTCCTGCATTTTTTCCAACGGTGTACCAACAGTCGACAACTGGTAGGCATTGTGACCGATGATTCACCTGCAATTGCTGCTGCTATTACGCAGGTGTATCCGGATGCACACCATATTCTGTGTCGCGTACACCTTGTTCGGAATGTGATAAAGAGGGTAAGTGTTTCGTTCATTAACATTAACCCAGTAACCGTTATTGTAGAGGGTGCGATCAGAAATTGTACAACTGTTCTTTCGCCTCATGTTCACTCGAACGGTTGAAAGGTAAATCAAAATCTACATAACATGATTTTGTAGTTTTAACAACGTACTTTCGTTAATCGAAATGTCGGACGGAACGTTTGGCAGATACGTCAGAGACCACCTTCTACCACGGAAACACAAATGGTCCACTGCTTTTCGACCGCCATCCACTCTCTTTGAACTGAGCAATACTAACTTCGTCGAGACCAGTCACCGAGTCTTGAAGATGTATCACCTTAATCGAAAAACACCGGTTCTCAGATCCATTTTCAATGTGCTGCTTCGTACTGGATATTGGATGGAAGCAAGATTACATAAATATTCAATGGATTGTCGGGGGAAAGCCGATATTGGTGAGGAGCCGGAAGTACGTCGACTTCAGGAACGACTGACACCAGTTGCCTGTCAACTACTGAAGCGACACCTTCGCATTCCTATAACGCAGTCTGCATTGACGGAAGATTTATTCACCGCTATGGACGCCACGGGGACGTACTACGTACACGTCGATACTAGCCGGTGCTCGTGTCCATTCTTCATTGAAAACGGATTACCATGCCGTCACATATTGGCTTACTGCACACACAGTAACACCGATGTGAACGTACAGTCAATTTGTGACAGGTGGTTACACTATGATGGTTATCTGACTCATATTGCAGTTGAAAATTATTTCCCAATGCAATTGAGTCAGCCAAGCATGAAGAATGCAGTGATAGCGTTAATCAGGCGAATGTCGGAGGAACAATGCAGTTCACTTCATGACTTCATAGTTCACGGTAGACTACCAACAACGCCAGTAAACTTGCATGTAGAACAGCATTCGTACACCCTTTCAAGAACCTCGACTAACGTAGCAGTGCCGTTTATACAACGAGGAACTGTTGATTTGGATGAAACGCTCAGTAACGATGAGGAGGAAGTAATTTCTATTAACTCCGAAGAGTTAACTGAACGGGACATCGAAAATGAAGAACAGGATGACGAGAATCGACTCTGCGACATCTGTAATCTTGCGCAGCCTCCATGTGAAACCGGTGATGCGGTTGGTTGGGTTTTCTGTAGATGTGAAGCAATGTTTCATACCTTCTGTGCCTACGACCCATCGCCGAACGTACGAGCAGTGCACTGTCCTATCTGTGGCGCCATTACAAACTAATAGTGACGACGTCCGACCGCGAGAACGAGTAAAGGCCCTTTTCAGGGCCACCCACAATTTGATTTCCATTATTTTTTATCTACTACTTTTCCGCGGCAAAGGTCAAGTGATTAAGCACCTATTAATGTCTCATGAATTTAGATATCCCTTAGAGATTAATAATGGAAAAGCGATTGTCGCTCATGTATTCGTAAACTTGTTTCTAACGTTTATTAGATATGAAGGTTAAGAAAACTTAGACAAGATTTTGTCATCTAATAAAGACTAATCTAGTAATTTTATATTTAAAATAATGTGATTACCGTTCATGTTTTAGTAACACATTTGAAATCTATCTAATAATAGTACATTTTGAGTACATTTTAATAGGAATATTTCAATATAGTGAAAATTGTAATTTTGTCGTTAGGTCAATGAATTTATGATGACATTTATTAGTGAATATTATTACAAAGATGAATGTGATTAAAGCTCATAGAGAAGTAACCAAAATTGAGAAAATTAACTTATTTAGGAATAAAATAATGACATTAGAAAACAAGTTGAAACCATCATCGTTGAAATGATTCATGTGATAAAAGGTCATATAGTAAGTGTAAAAAGAAATGCGAATATTAGCTGTTTCATGAATACAAAAAACAAGAATTTCATATTCTTGTTTTATATTAAAAGTTCCTGAAACCAGAACTATGCGTACGTAAGAAGTACGTCTGATCGTAAACTAAGCCTCCATTGTTATTCATAACTACTGATTATATCACCGTATTCATTTGCACACCTCTTCAACTATTTATTACTGGTACAATCACATTGTACCAGTTAAAAATTCCCTTAAAATATTCAAAAATAAAAAATAATTTAGCAAACAATCGTTTTCATTAACTTCATCATCACACTATACAGTTATTAGTCCATAATTTTAATATTTTATAAAGTCCAAAAATAAGGCATGGCATTAATGAACTTGACAATGTAATGTGTTAACAATGGTTAACGTTTACATCTGTAACGATATATATGTTTACAAATTAAAAAGGTCATTCACTAAAGATCGGGATGATTTGCAGTAAAGTGTTCAGTCACAGTAAGTGACTAAGCATAATAGGAAAATTGAAAATGCAAAAAAATTGGTGTCAATGAAATACATAGTACAAGAATTGAATCTTGTAAATTGACATAATAATAATAATAATAATAATAATAATAATAATAATAAGGAAATTAAATAATAATAACATTGTAAATGTCCGTTGATACAGTTGACCTTATTCATATTTATACGTTTAAAGTCGATAGATATTTGTTGACTCAGTCCGACGACGTAGGCTTGTTCATTTACACTTCATGAAACTAATACTTCAAATGCTTGTCAAAAATGGTTACATTCATAATGTCTAGATAATTCAGGTTTCATATTACGGCGGTTGACAATATTCACACATGACTGATTAAACACACACTAGTTTTTATTACAACCGAAAAATTAATTTTAAAATACAGAACTACAAATAATTTACAAGTGAAAATAATGAACCGTGTTTCAATGGATTTCCAAATTAACCGCATTGAAATCTAACGTTGTCTAATTCTCATTATGAATGACCATTTACAAAATAATCGTTTACTAAATATTAAGTGTCTATTTCGGAAAATTTATTACTACTTTCATATACTGTCTAAGTCAGTTCATTAAATGATGGTCTATGATTGCTTCACCTGAATTATACATATTGCAACCAGTAAGTTATCATAATGATTTATTGATATGTTGATTTGTTTCTCGAACTAACAGACCATGTGTTACAAAAAAACCTGTGCACACACTTTGGTGATAATTTGTTTATTAATTTGGTATTAAATATTTGACTACTGACCTCATTCAGTAATCCTTATTATCAAATATTCAAACCGGTTTTCGGTGGCTTTTTCCCAAAAACTTTCTTTTACTGAGATACATATAATTATTCGTGTTCAGATAATTAACGACTTCAATTCAAGGTATACTTGATCGGAAAACAAAAATTGATCCCAATACACATTCACTAACAGTAGGATTGCACGGTAATGCAATTAAGTTGGTGTCTTTTTCTTCAAAAGTCTAGATTTTTTTCAAGACTAAGATTACACAAAAAGGATTATTCATTATCATTAAATTTCAAATGTCAAAAATGAAAATTCTGACATCCAATCACAGCTCCAGATGCGATTTCGATTTCAACTAATCAGATTACAAAGATGAACCGTTTACGACCAATCAAAAAATTATTAAAGATAACACAATGTTTGTTCATTATCACTTGAGCACACACTTGAAAAACAAGTCCACCAATCAACGATACCTAAATTTTTCATTCACACCCCACAATTTTTTTAAAAGGGGTGGTAGGGAATCATATAGGCCGGTCACTTAATGTCAATTCACTCATAATCTCAACTATTGAAGATATTGATAAGTTAATATATACCTACATGCACACAAAAAAATACACAAATACACTATAGATATATATACAGACATGCAAGCAAATCTACCAACCAAATGAGAAGAAAACCAAATGTTAGAATATATATATATATATATATATATATATATATATATATATATATATATATATATATATATATATACTTTGACTTTCGCACAAATATATCACCTTAAAAATTTAATGATTATTTAAAACAAATAATTCAATGAAGAAAATATTCATCTTGATGATTTAAATTTTTATTTTAAAAAAAAGATACAAACATATTTACATTAAATAAATTTAATAAATCTAATAATTATATGCTTGTATGCATTCAGATAAATGGACAATCAATGAAGATGCACACACACACACACACACACAAAATAATAATATTGATTGGTCTATTTGTTAAAATCGTGTGATCAGATTTCAAAAGTTTAAACTATCCTATTGGTAAATTTAAACACAAATGATGATTTTTTTTTTGTTTTGTTTGACTACACACTTGATAGAAATATTGATTGAGGTCAATTATTTTTTTTTTGCAAATGACATCGACTAGATAATTGAACTTACAATTAAAATCATGCAAATTTAAATGATGGATCTATTGAATAATAAAGGGTATCATAAATCTAATTAATAATGATACAATTTCATTGAAACTATTCATTCTGTAAGTTTTCTTTGTGATACTTATTAGATAATTAAGATTTATCAGAATAAATTATGAATTTTATATTTTATTCGAAATAATAGATAGTGATTTTTTAATAAATTTTCTTGAAATTATAATGATTGTAATCATTAAAACTGTTCATTTAAACATTTGTAATTTCAATGCTAACCGGTGTTGGAGATGATTAGAAGAAAGTTAGGGGTGGCCAAACCAAAACGTGGCATCAGTGCTCGAGTTCAGTAACTTCTAGTCTGAGCCATGTTGGTAGATGCAGACTACTTGTTTGGGGTCCGCGTGACTTTCGTAACCAATGGTTGGAGACTCTTTGTGACATGGCTCAGAATCGATCACAATAGCGTCGGTGTATACACTCTCTGTCTTCCCTTAAACTAAGAGATTAAAATCACTTCATATCTTTTTTTCTACAAACTAATTCTTTCTTCCTGTACTATATCCTTATATGCAATCTTTCTTTTATATATTACCACTTCTGAATTAACTACTTTTATGAATCCGGTGTCCATCTTGTTGTGTTAATGAGGTATGGCAACTTGGACCGATTCATATATGTGCCTGGTCCTACGTTGTAGCTGACTGACTGACCGAGACAATTAAGATCTTAAGTTTAATAACTGAATATAGTATGATAGGTCATCATAATTATTGATATTTCTTGAAAAAAATTTTTTTTCATGCTTTAAATTATAACATTGTAGTTATCTCTGGGGGAGGGAGCCGAAGAGTGGATTAAGAGACTTTCGATATATGAAATAGGGTTTATTGATCTTTGAAATTTACATGCTTACATGATCCGTTAAGAAATTATAATACTAATTTGAACTTCTCATTAGTGTGCACTAACAACATTTCTGAAGATTGAGCTTAGAAGCTTTAGCCTTGCACACTAACGCCTAACCTATAGACGATTGAGTTGAGAACCAGTGATGTACATGTTTAACATTAATTGATTCGCCATATTTTGCATTCACCTTCTATTGCTCACGGTAGGTAACTATCTCTCATATCCGATAAATTAAATTCTGGTAGCCATGGCTTTTCAATGGAATTCCAGTAATTGTATCTGAAAGTTTGTCACAAGTGAGTACATGACTATTATTAATATATTAGGGCTTGTGCAAATACCAGAATTTTCATAGTTAAATCTAGAATCGATCTTAACTAGATCTAGGAAGCATTAGATAGCTGTTTCTTCCCAGTATCAAACTCCTCAATAGTGCACAACCATGACGGACTAGCCAAAACCAGTTTATAATCTAGTTATGGAAATTCTTAAAATATTCATAGATACCAATATACTTATAATTATTATAATCCTTTAGATTAAACTATTTAACGAGAGAAACGTCCCAACTTATATGATGAAAAAGTTAGTTTTAATTTACATCTGAAATGACAGTGACAAAACGGTGAGGTTATTGAATTCCCAGATTTGTCAATAATTTAAAAATTCTTTTTAAAATTCAGTTGAGGTACTGAATAAGTTATCCTGTTTACTAATGAGCATATGAATCAAAACTATTCAATGATATATGTGTATCTGGGCCCCTATATGACAATATATAGTGGTTTCTTATGGATGACATAATCACTTTTAACTATTTCGGATAGTTAACAAAATAAAGTCCCGACATGTGCTCAGTTTATAAAGTACATATGACTCCTAAGTTATGGATTTGTTTTTTGATAAAGTCAAACATAATAATAATCACTTACCGCTGTTTGGTAAGCAGGTAGGATAGATTAGGGTAAATTTTCAATATAAATTAAAAGAGTGTGTGATTAGAATTTGCCATGACGATTAGTCAGAAACCAATCGCACACATATTTATTGTAAAGCTCTTAACCTAAGCTTTGAATTGATTAACGCTAATCAAGATGACAGATAGCCTACCAATCATGAGGTTTGAGTCCTTTAGGTGTAGACATAGAGAAAGTTAAGGGCAAAGACGAATATAAAATAAATGTACGAGAAAAAAAGTTCACCATTAATTACTTTTTATCAATCCTCTAAATAACATTTTTCAAGGATTTATTTTCAGATGTAATTGATTGCTCCTAAAATTATCAGTTTGAATATCACACTTGAACTACGTATATCTTTAGAGACCATTTTTAAAATAAATCGCTTTTCATCTGTACCAAGCTTATTATACTTATACTTAAAGCTTATACATTAACAAGTTCGATTGATCGATGATCTGTCCTCTGACTGAGTTCACGACTCTGAATTATGATAATAATTAAATCAATTTTTTGTCGATCAGACTAATTGGTTTTTAATATTGATCAACACAACAGACATAGTTATGAGGGATCATGGAATCATGAAACTATCAGAGGCTTCCAGAATATGTAATACATTTTTTCAGAACTCTAAAGAACGGTTCCCAACTCGGTTAGAGACAACTTTTGAGGATAAAACTAACAGTGACTAGTCCACTTCAGTATAATTATCATCTTAACCGGCTAGTTATGAGCTAAACTACTGGAAAGTTCCATTAACTTAGTAGGGTGATTCCCAGTACATTCTCTGTTAATTGTTTTTCGTGTAACATTAAGCGTTAACGGAAATTAAAAATTATCTACACCTGAAAATTCTTGGTGTTTTTTAAAATAAGTTTCTATCTTTTCTACAGTCAGTAAATAGTAGAATGAATATTTATTTATTATATAGGCTTTGATTTTTATAAATCAGTAGACTGTAACATTCTTTTAGGTACTAACAACTCACTCAAAATAACTTATATTACTTGTACTGATATTCAGCAATTATATAGTTAATTCAATTCACTAACTAAAAGTAGGACTGTGTATCTAATTTTAGCAATATTTGTTGAATGACTAATGATATTACTCATTTTCTCATCTCAAACTAATTGAACTTTCAGCACGATGGTTAAGAATGGAATGTTTTTACGTGCAAAGTAAATCTTCCCACCAATTATCCAGTGTCCAGTGATACTTTGTAAGCCACTTTGTGAAACTTTGGAGATTATAATGACTAGGATCAAAGACATCATGTGTGATAGTTAAATTGAATTACGTTGCATAATGCACCTCAAATAGTAATTTAATAATTGGTTGATTGAAATTTATAACAGATAATCCGAATATAAAAAAATGATGAAAATTGTAGATACTTTGTGAAAGATATGAAATACATTGTCAGTAATCCTGAAGAAATGATCAGTTGCTTTTCATTGAAAAGTTTCTACTTGGAACTGTACTTTTTTAAGCAAATTAAAAATTCAGTTTTATGTGGGTAATTCTCAGTAAAAATCTCTTTGTCATCAGAAACTGGATGGTAAAAAAATAAACACTTATTATAAGCCTGATAACTATATGTTAATAACAATATGTGAACAAACAATCTTTAGGTACTTGATGATAATGACGTCTGTGTACTCATTTCGTTTTTTGTATTGACACAAAGCTACAAGTGTGAAAGTCATTTCCAACAACTACGTATAATTCATTTGGTGTATTGGAAACTCAGTGATGTTAAAAAATACAATAGGATTCAAAAACAGTAGCTGATTATTTGAAAACTGATATCATATTTGAAAGTTATTACTTTGAAAGTGTGAATTCATAAGTTTGCAGTGATTAGAATCCCTAAACAAGAATAAGACAGCTTCCAAGTTTTTTTATGTTTGATGATGGTCTTTAAATTCATCACTTCAGTTTTCAACAAATCATTTACTTAAATGAAATACATTTATATTACTTTAAAGATTATTGCACTTCAATATATAAATTAAAAGCAAGTGTAATTTGCTACTTATCGATCAAACATTTAGAACCATCAATTTTAACATAAAAAACCTACCCTGTATTGATCTATATATCTCGTAGAAATTAACTAGGGGCACATATCGATTGAAGTTTCTGATAAACATATGTTCTTTTTAGTGATAAAAACTCTACAAATATTTTATCTTATTGCAACAACTATCTTACACATTCTGTACATTCCAGAAAATAAAACGTATTCACATATGTGATAAGATCTATTAGCTACAAAAATACTTAAAAACAAATATATAATTATATCAGAAAGAGGGTTTTGTGGAGATTGTAGTAATTAATTAGTTAAATTCATGAGTCGGTTAAAGCTAGACCATTATGGAAAACCTGGAAGCACTCGTCCGCCATTTCGTCCTAGTATGGGACTCCTCAACAGTGTGCATCCACGATCCCTCACGCGGAACTCGAAGCCAGGACAACGGTTTCGCGCGCGATCGCTTAACCTGTAGACCATTGAGCCGGCATACAACAGTGTTAATGTCTAACGTCAATTCATTCATAACTATTCACATTTAACGATCTAAGACTTTTCATTGTGAAAGATAACAGTTTATTTTACAGATTGTTTGCTCAATAAATATGTCAGATAAAGTAAATATGCAACTCAGTGATTTATTATATTACTAGTTAGTTCAGTGAAATTTATTGATAGTGTGGATTGTCTACATGTATTTACCTAATGTCTAGTTCAATATATGCAAATTTGAATGCTGACTACATGATTATATCATGGACTATTCAACGTATTTTTATATAGTTTTAGAATCACAGGGGAAAACAGTGGTTGAGTCTGTGGTGGATCTATTGTTAATTCATAAACAAAATTTTATCTACAATTTCACTGTATCGCTCACTTTTATTCCCTTGTAAGGAGAAACAAGTGGTAGTGTTTACGCGAACATAACAAATAATCCATACTAGTAGCTTTACAATTATCTTCTTAAGTGACAGCAAAATAAACTAAATCACTAAGTATCATCAATTCTATTTGATGTAGTGAATTAAGTCAGTCAATGCTAATCAATATATATTAGTTATCGTTTAGAATGTTCTATTTCATAAATCAGAGGTATAATTGAATCATATTAAGTCTACAAAGGAATAAACAGTGTTTTTCTTTAGTAATCTGATATGACGGGATAAATAGGCAAAATCAAATTTTCATTCAT